ATTGACCTATATGTCTATCATTACACACCACCAAACAGTCCAAATTACTATAGTAAGTAATAACATTACATATATAAATATAAAGTAAGCTTTATAAAGTATTGAAATCGAATAGAGTAAGTCCTCCATGTATTCTTAAAATTGCTTTGGTTATTTTAAATTCTTTGAATTTCCTTATAAATCTTAAGATCAGCATGTTAGTTTCTATAAAATGTCTGTAGGATTTTGACTGCGATTGTGTTGCATCTTGGAGACAATTTGGGCAGCATTGCCATTTTAATTATATAGAATTTTCTGATCCATGAAAATGCTATATCTCTCCATTTGTTTAGGTCAGAGGAGTTGAGGTAGGAGACCAGATATTTTAACATTAATGTTAAACCACCATGAATCAATCTCACAGTTATTGTTCCACCATTGATATCACAAGTTGGGAAAAATTCTCCTTCTCCCCTCCCAAACCCCTCTTTTTCCCCCTTCTCTCTCTCTTTTTTTGTCCTTCTACATCTTTTTTTACTGAAAAATTTATCACAGGCTCAGTTTAATTCATATCCTATCTTGGTTCTTGTCTACTGTTCAAAATTTTTATGTTGTTTCAGTTTCTAAATATTTAATATATTTAGAAATGTATTGACAATGAAATTCGATAACATTGTCCAGTATAGAAACATGAAACTTGGTAGCATAGTGGAAAATATATCCATTTTGGGGTCTGACATAATACCTTTTTCATTGGATTGCCATGAGATTCAAATGAGGTAAAACCATGTGAAAGCTAAAACAGCAAAATGTTGTTATTAATGTTTTTACTGATAAAGAGTCACCTAAATAACTTTAAAAAATGAGATATAATTGATATATAACATTGTATTAGTTTTAGGTGTACAACATAATGACTTGATATATGTATATATTGTGAAATGATTACATAATAAGTTAACATCCATCACACAGTTACAAAAATTTTTGTGTGATGAGAACTTTTAAGATCTATTCTCTTAGCAACTTTCAAATATACAATATAGTCTTATTAACTATAGTCACAATTCTGTACATTACATCCCTAGGAGTTATTTGTTTAATAACTGAAAGATCTTTCACCTTTTGACCACCTTCACCCATTTCTCTCATATTATTTGTAATTATGTAAAACTTTTTATATTCTTTTAAAGTTCAAACTATACTAATAAGATTCACTGACAAGTCCCACTTTTATTTCTGAACTCCTTAACCTGTTCCTTTCTTCCTATATGTAACTACCATTGTATTAGTTTTTCTATTTTCATTGTTTCTTTTGGAAAATATAAGCAAATATATATATATATTCTTATTTCCTCTCAACATAAACACAAGGTAGCGTGGTATAAATACTTTCTATACCTTAGTGTTTTAATTTATTGATAAGCCCTATATATCATCTCATCATATATAGGAATCCCTTTTATTTGCTTTTGCAGCTGCATGCTAGTCTGTTTTGTGGAGGCACCACAGATTACTTATTTATTTATCCTCACCTGTGGACATTTTTCCATTTTTTGTTCAGTTAGAGTAAGAGGGGGAGACAGAGAGAGAAACATCGACGTGAGAGAGACACATCGAGTGGTTGCCACCCACACAACCCAACCAGGGCCGGGGACAAACTGCAACCGAGGTACGTGCCCTTAGAGGGAATCGAACCCGGGTCTCTCTGGACCGCAGGCCGACACTCTAACTGCTGAGCTAAACCGGCCAGGGCCTTATTTGTTTATTTTAAATATTTTTTCTTTATTGATTTTAGAAAGAGAGGAAGGGAGAGGGAGAGAGACAGAGACATCAATGAGAGAGAACATCGATTGGCCACCTCCTGCATGCCCCCATTGGGGATTGGGCCCACAACTTGGGCATGTGCCCTGACTGGGAATTGAACTGGAGACCTCTTGGTGCATGGGGTCGATGCTCAGCCACTGAGCCACACCAGCTGGGCAAGCACAGATTATTTAGCCAGGCCCCTGATGATACACATCTGGTTGGTTTAAAGTCTTTTGCTGTTCTAAAAAAGAATGCTGCCAGTAACCTTGTGCATTAGTTATTTACTGTATTTTTGCCAACTGATCTTTGGGATTTTTTTTTATAACTGATGCCATGGAATCAAAGAGTAAATGCATAGGTAATTTTGCTAATATTGTCACAGTTTCCTTCCATAGTGGTTGTATCATTTTGCATTTTTACCAGCAATCTATGAGAGGCCCTGTTTCCCCACAGGATCACCAAAAATGTTTCAAACTTTGAGATTTTTGCCAGTCTGATAGTTTACTTTTCTTTAATATTGATTGGCTCATATGTATACCAATTTATTTGTTTATTATTCTTTCTTGTACCCCAGAGTTTTCTTTTAGAATTATTTTCCTCCTCCTCGAAACATATCTTTAAGAAGCCCTCAAGTGTACTTTGTTTGGCGTGGGATTCTTTGTGTTTCCTGAATCTGAAGTTCCATGTGTTTTAATTCTGGAAAATTGTCCACCATTATTTCTTGAAATGGTGCCTCTCCCAAATTCTATCTATTGTCTTCTGGAACTCCAAGTAGACATAACTAGACATACTTACTTTTTCTTCCTTACTTTTAACTAGCCCTTCATATTTATCTCTCTTCTCTGCTGCAGCCTGGGTCATTAATCCCATGATAATTTATTCAGTTTTCCCTTTGAGGTTTATTATTCTCTTTTTATGTTGTGTCTAATTTGCTGTTAAACTTGACCAATAAGTTTTTATTTCATTGATTATGTTTATCATTTCTGGAAATTTTTTTTTTCCCTACTCAAATCTGACTGGTCTTTTTTGTTTGTTTGTCTGTCTGTTTGTTAATCCTCACCTGAGGGTATATTTTCCACAGATTTTTAGAGAAAGTGAAAGGGCCCTGGCCAGTTTGGCTCAGAGGTTAGAGCGTCGGCCTGCGGTCCAGAGAGACCTGGGTTCGGTTCCCGCTAAGGGCATGTACCTCGGTTGCAGTTTGTCCCCAGCCCTGGTTGGGTTGTGCGGGTGGCAGCCACTCGATGTGTCCCTTTCACGTCGATGTTTCTCTCTCTCTCTTCCTCTCTCTCCCTCTATCTGAACAAAAAATGTCCTCAGGTGAGGATAAAAAAATAAAAAAAAAGACAGTGAAAGGGAGGGAGGGAGAGAGGGAGGTGAAAGAGAGAGGGAGAGAGAAAGAGAGGAGGGAAAGAAACACATCAATGTGAGAGAGACATATAGATTGGTTGCCTCCTGCATGTACCTCGACTGTGGCTGTGGATTGAATCTGCAACCCAGGTACGTGCCCTTGACCAGGAATCAAACCCACGACCCTTAAACATTTTATTCATAGTTATTTTGTGATCTTAATCTGATAACACCACTATCTGAATAACTTGGGGATGTGTCTAATATTGTTTTTTTAATTGTTCCTGCTTATTTTGCTCATAGTGGCTTTTTTTTATTTTTATTATATGCTTTGTAATTTTGGAGTTGTCTGCATTGCTTCAGATTTTGTGTAATATATTTCAAAACCCGAGGTGATATATTTTTTTTTGTAGGGTAGACAGTAAGGATCAATGTTTGATTTTTAAAATATGAATACTTAGTTAGACTTCATGAAAATTAGAACTTCTGTGCTTCAAAGTACAACATCAAGAAAGTGAAAAGACAACCCACAGAGTGGGTAAAGAATATTGGGAAATCATATAAGGAACTCAAATAAGGAACTTCTATCTAGAATATGTAAAGAACTCTAACAATTAACCAATAATAAAAAGAAAAATAACCAAAAATTTAAAAGGGCAAAGGATTTGAATAGACATTTTTCCAGAGATAATATATAAGTGGACAATAAGCATGTGAAAAGATACTCATCATCATTAGGGCAACACAAATCAAAATCATGAGAAATACTACTTCATACTCACCAGAATGGCTATAATAAAAAAGATGGAAAATACATGTATTGGAGAGGGTGTGGAGGAGTTGGAACCCTCAGACATTGCTGTTGGGAGTGTAAAATGGGGTAGCCGCTTTGGAAAATGGTTTAGCAGTTCCTGAAAATGTCAAGCATAGAGTTGCCATAGGACTCAGCAATTCTATTGCTACATATGTACTCGAGCAATGAAAACACTTTTCCACACAAATCTTGTACGCCAATGTTCATGGTACCATTATTCATAAAAGCCAAAGAAGTGGAAACAGTATATCCATGCAGTGGATTATTATTTGGTAATAAAAATGATGATACAACATGGGTGAACCTTAAAAACATTATGCTGAGTGAAAAAGGTCAGTCACGAAAGACCATATGTTTCATGGTATTATTTATATGAAATAACCAGGATAGGCAAATCTTTAAATATACAAAGTAGATTAGAGGTTGTCTAGGTCTTGGATAAGAGGGGGGAGAAAATCAGTAGTCACTGCTAATGGTTACAGGGTTTTTTGGCAGGTGATGAAAATGTTCTAAAGTTAGATTATGGTGATGCTTGCACAACTCTGTGAATATACTAAAAACTATTGTATTTTTTTTAAATGGGTGAACTTTATGGTATGTGAAATTACATATTATTAATGTTCTGGGAAAGGGAAAGAGAAGAAGGGAAGGGAACCAGTTGACAGGTTTGCTTCTCTTCCTATCCTTCGTCTCTTTCCCAGATTGTTGGTTAGGAGAGCGATAGATAAATCTCATGTGATGATTCCTGCTGTGTTAGAAAATTGCACACCTCAACTTAATTAATTGACGTTTCATTTTGATATGGCTGATAATTGAAGTCTTAGGATATCTATGTCCCATGTCCCCTATTGACTGTGTGATTCTTGCCATGTTTCATTACCTTATAAATTTTTCCTCTGTTTATAAATTTAGGATAATTCCTGCTTTTCCTATCTCAGAGGATTGTTGTGAAGTCCAACTGAAAGTGAGATAGCACTTTGAAAGCTGTACAGTCTTAAATTAATGTGGAGTAGTGTTAAGAATCCTAAAGTTCTCTATTTTCTTTCCATAGGAGTAAAACACCAGTCTTATCTAACGGTTGAAGATTGTTTTGAGTTGGGCAAAGTAGCCTATACTGAAGCAGACTATTACCATACAGAACTGTGGATGGAACAAGCACTAAGGCAGCTGGATGAAGGGGAGGTTTCTACCATTGATAAGGTCTCTGTTCTGGATTATTTGAGCTATGCAGTGTACCAGCAGGGAGACCTCGATAAGGCACTTTTGCTCACAAAGAAGCTTCTTGAACTAGGTATGTTAACTTGGCCTAATTCAAGGTTATGGATATATTAGTTTTATATATATGACACTATGTCACCATACAGCTTTGGTACTTTTTGTTAGATTCAAGTGCCTCATTTGTCAGACATACTTAATCCTCTTTCTGATTAGCCTCTAAATAAATGGCAATTAATTTTTTTCACCTAGTACTACATCAGTGGCTGTGTTTCCCTGCTCTGTGCTCTTCGGCAATTTCAAAATTGGACCTAATCTAACTTAATCAAAAATGTTTATATACCATATTGCTATATTAAATATTAGCTAGTTTTCTTTGAAGGATGTTTTTGATTAATTGCATTTCATATTCAAAAATAGTGATTTGAAAGAAATAGATTGAAAATATATTTGATTATCATATTCAAATGATAGAACAATGTAAATATGTTATGAGGATTTTACCACTAGTATTTTAAACAGAGATGTAGCATTTCTGTAAGAATGATCCAGCTACTCTGGCCTGTTTGGCTCAGCAGTTAGAGTGTCGGCCCATGGACCAGAGTGTCCCAGGTTCTGTTCCCACTATGGACGCGTACCTCCGTTGCAGTCTGTCCCTGGCCCCGGTTGGGGTCATGTGGATGACGACCAGTTGATGTGTCTCTCTCACATTGATGTTTCTCTCTCTCTCTCTCCCTCCTGCTCTATCTGAAGATAAATGCAAAAATATCCTCAGGTGAGGATTTAAAAAAAAGAAAAATGATTCAGGGACTGTGTGCATCAGAATTACTTGGATACTTATTACAAATGAAAATTTCTTGATCTCCACCCCAGGCCTACTAAATCCAGAATCTTTGGAGGTGGAGTTGTATGCTACTAGATTCAGGTGGCATTTGGTATATAGTGATCTTTCAAACTTAAAAAAAATTTTTTTTTAAGAATAGATAAACATGTATACATCGAAGAGTGAAACAGTTCAAAAGGATTAGTCATCTGAAAGTGAACTTTTTTGATAATTAGGTTATTTCTTGGTTGAATGAATAAATTGAGATATTAGTTCAAGTTCCCCCCTTTTTTCCCAGTATTTTTAAGTGATTTTTTTTCCACTTGACCTAAAAATCTTTACTCATTGTAGGAAAGTTTTTTGTTTTAAATCCTCACCTGAGGATATTTTTCCATTTATCTTCAGATAGAGTGGGAAGGAGAGAGAGAGAGAGAAAAAAACATTGATGTAAGAGGGACACATCAATTGGTTGCCTCCTGCACAATCCCGACCAGGGCTGGGGATTGAACTGCAGCCTAGGTATGCACCCTTGACCAGAATCGAACCCGAGGCTCTTTGGTCCACAGGCCGATGCTCTAACTGCTGAGCCAAACCGGCCAGGGCATCATTGTAGGAAAGTTTTAAAAATGGAAAAAGATATAGAAGAGTCATCCATAAGCCGATCACCCAAAGATACCTACAAGCTTTATTTGTTTCCTTGTATATTGCCCCTTCATGCACACACTTTCCCCTTTTACAAAATTGGCTCAGGTTATATATCCCAATATATATTATGAGCAGTTTCTCAAAGACAAGTATTTTACAAATAAGGCTAGATTTCCTAAATACTTAACAAATGTCACAAGTGAAGTTTCTACATACTGTTCTGCCTTTTTTATTTGTGTGTGTGGTTGTTGTTTTTTCTCCCGGATGGGTGGAGTAGGTCCTCTTTTCCTCTACTGAAAGATAGCTAAAAATTATGACTAGCAATTCAGAGGTAATTAGTGGATTCTGGCTTAATTGAAAATTATACCTCTAGTTTCTTTTTTCTGTCTCATTTAGAATTTTGGAGCTAAAATCCACTCAGCCCCCTGAAGTAGGCTGTGTTCTTCATTTACAATTTATCTGTGGTAAAGGTTGCTTTTGAACATATACAGTGTCTTCCCCATGGTAATTACATTTCAGTCTCAGAAAAAAACGTTTCCATTGCTTAAAAGAAGAAGAGAAATATTTAAAAAATTCATTTGACATCAAATTGATCATGCATAGTTCCCTTGGCTAATTAGTAAGTTCTCAAAGTAGAAGCAGTAATTGCTACTTTGAAATAAATGGCTACTCTGTCTCCAGAACTCTTTTTTTTTTTTGCATTTATCTTCCAATAGAATGGGAGGGAGAGAGGGAGGAAGAGAAAGAGAGAGAAACATCAATGTGAGACAGACACATCGAGTGGTTGCCACCCACACAACCCCAACCGGGGCCAGGGACAAACTGCAACCGATGTATGTGCCCTTAGCGGGAACCGAACCCAGGACTCTGGTCCACGGGGCCAACGCTCTAACCACTGAGCAAAACCGGCCAGGGTCAGAACTCTTTTTATATAGGATGACTGTATGCCCTGTTTTACGTGGGGCAGTACTAGTTTACACCTGTTGTTTTAGCATAATAATTTTTACTAATACCTTCTTTCACTTTCAAAAGCAGAGTTATTTAGAAGGTGAATTCTATGGCCCTCTATTTTATATGCTTGTAATCTGATGTTTAAACAACTGTAAACTTGCTCATGGACATGTTCTTTCTCTTCTAATAGATCCTGAACATCAGAGAGCTAATGGTAACTTAAAATATTTTGAGTATATAATGGCTAAAGAAAAAGATGCCAATAAGTCTACTTCAGATGACCAATCTGATCAGAAAACCACACTGAAGAAAAAAGGGGCTCCTGTGGATTACCTCCCAGAGAGACAGAAGTACGAAATGCTGTGCCGTGGGGAGGGTATCAAAATGGTAAAGTGGAAAAGCCAATTGTGTGTGTGTGAATGTGTGCATGTGTATTGTTTGTACATAGTTTTAGAGAGAACTTCTTTTATATTTAAGTCTAATGTGATAAAATCAGAATTACTGCATAATGCCTGTCAATCATACACCATTCCAAGCATTTTTGGTAATATTACCCTTTTCATAGATTAAAATCTGAAGGGTCAGATAATTTAAGGGAAGTGATAAAGATTTTTCTTATATCTTTTTAAAAATTTTATTTTAGAGAGAAAGGATATGAGAGAGAGAGAAATATTTATGTGAGAGAGATACATTGATCGGTTGCCTCTGGTACATGCCCCAACCAGGGATAGAACCTGCAACATAGGTATGTGCCCTGACCGAGAATTGAACCCATGACCTTCTAGTGCACAGGCTGATGCTCCAATCAACTGAGCCACACCAGCCTTCTTATATCTTAATGCAAAAGAGATTTCACCAGTCTTAAGTAGAAATAATATACCATTCTAATCCATCCTGTGAAACAGTGGATTCATCTATACAGTAATCTCTTGTGGTTTTGCTTCTAGTCAACCTTGACAGGATTGCTTAGTGAAGTGTTTGTCTATTTTAGAAATATTAAAAATGCATAAAGACTTTCAAGAGACTTTGGTTTTAACATTTATTCTTTAAAATATTAAAATGTGTTTATAAATATCCCTTTGTTTATTGTGTATCTATATTTATGTATTTATAACTTAAGAGAACCAGTACTTTACGATGGTAATAGGTAATAGGCCAAAACAAAAGCTTTCAGGTCTGGGAAACATAGATTTTTGTTCAGCCTTTGGACTTTTTTTTCTTTTCTATCTTCACCTGAGGACAGTTTTCCATTTTTTATTCAGATAGAGCGGGAGGGAGAGGGAGGAAGAGAGAGAGAGAGAAACATCGACGTGAAAGGGACACATCGAGTGGTTGCCACCCGCACAACCCAACCAGGGCCGGGGACAAACTGCAGCCAAGGTACATGCCCTTAGCGGAAACTGAACCCGGGTCTCTGTGGACTGCAGGTCGACGCTCTAACCACTGAGCAAAACCGGCCAGGGCAAGGCACTGGACTTTTTAGAGCCTTTTTACTTTGATGTGCATTATGGATATGGTGTACATTGCATTCCAACATTAACCAATAATGGAGCCCTCTTTTAAGGAATATCATGTGGTACCCATTGTTCAGTTGAATGTGGGCATATGTGGAAGGAAGTGAATTAGTGCATTTCTAAATAAGTATTTTTAAGTGTAAACATTTGAATAGTGTTTAACTTTGTCTCTACTGATAAACTGAAGCTGGGCTTTATGTTTTGGTATTGATGACTTTTTGATATTTTATGATTTACTGTTGACAGCATAACCTCTAACAGCAAATAAGTAGATCATGTCTATGTTGATACCTTTGAGTGCTTTAAGTCCTGTTAGAATAAGCCTACTTTTGCTTTGGGAGCTAATAAGTAAAGACAAGGATAATAATAACACATCCAGATATTTTAGTATTTTTTGAAGATAAGGACTGTTAAAGAAAACAAAAAACAAAAACACAAGACCATTATCACCCCTAAAAAAATTCACAGTGGTTCCATAATATCATCAAATATCTAGTTAATTGTTCAGATTTCTAATAGTGAGCACATGTTTTTTTTATTGCTCTTTATAGCTCTTAAAGAAGAGCAAAACAGAACTATAAGCATAAAACATTAGTCTGCTAACTTGCCACTTTATTGATGTGACACACACGTCAACCCTGCCCAAGATCAAGGAGCATCCTTTTTCTTAGGATCAACTAATCTCATTATTATGTAAAAATTTTATTCGATATAAAGCTTTGGATTTTACTCTAGGTAAATAAGATACATGGAGTACCAGCCGGTGTTTCACAGTTGTGAGAGGTTGACCCATGCACTAAAGGGTTGTGGATTCAATTCCCAGTCAAGGTCACGTATCTGGGTTGCAGGTTCAGTCTGTGTGGGAGGCAACCCATCGATGTGTCTCTCACACTGATGTTTCTCTCTCTCTCTCTCTCTCTCTCCCCCTCCCCCTCCCCCTCCCTCCCCCTCCCTGTCTCTCTCCCTCCCTCCCTCCCTCTCTCTCCTCCTCCCTCCCACTCTCTCTAAAAATCAATGGAAAAAATACCTTGGGGTGAGGAATAACAAAAAAGAAAGAGAGAGAAGGGGTGAAGGGGGGAGAGAAAGAGAGAGAGAGAGAGAACATGGAGAATAAACATGAATGATTATTTGTTTTAGTATGTTAACTAAAAATTAAAACCCAGGCCCTGACCAGTTTGGCTCAGTGTTTAGAGCATCGGCCTGCGGTCCAGAGAGACCCGGGTTTGGTTCCTGCTAAGGGCATGTACAGTTTGTCCCCGGCCCTGGTTGGGTTGTGCAGGTGGCAGCCACTCAATGTGTCCCTTTCATAGCGATGTTTCTCTCTCTCTCCCTCCCACTCTATCTGAACAAAAAAATGAAAAAATGTCCTCAGGTGAGGATTAAAAAAAATAAAAATTAAAACCCAGTATTATTTTTACTTCATATATGACATAACTTGTTTATTGAAGAGAACAATCAGCAATGCAATAACTTGTTTAGTTAATATAATAGGTGATTGAAAGAAACATTTATTTGCTTTGTTAACCATTCTATTTTAAATACCCACTAATAAAAGCTCCTGGCTTCTTTGTTTAATAACTTATATTCTCTTGTTCAGAACTACCCATTTTCATCTTTGCTTTTTAAAATATCCTTTATTTGGGGGGAACATAAGCATTTAACTGGGAATTATTTAGAAAAACCTGGTTAGGTTTGTTTTTCCTTTTAGAAACTCTTTCTGAGTGTTTGGAGCAATGCTGAGCATTCATTTCATATTTCTATAAACATTTCTTTCATATTTATAACACCTGAACTTTATTTTGAGGAGAGGAGAGTTAAAACCCCACCTATTTTCTTATTTAAGGCCTACCATTTCTGTCCCAGAATATAATCATTAATACAATTTTTTAAATCTTGAAGGTTCTGTTTAATGCAAAATATTTGCAGAGAACTGTTTTTTTGTGTTTGTCTTCTTCCACAGATAACTCTGTGTATACATGAACATGACTATTGTTTCTTATCTGCATAGGAACAAGCATTAAAATTATTATTACTCTAATATATTTATCACTTTTTAAACTTTATGTTTAGACTCCTCGAAGACAGAAGAAACTCTTTTGCCGCTACCATGATGGAAACCGGAATCCTAAATTTATTCTGGCTCCAGCCAAACAGGAGGATGAGTGGGACAAGCCTCGTATTATTCGCTTCCATGATATTATTTCTGATGCAGAAATTGAAATTGTCAAAGATCTAGCAAAACCAAGGGTAAATAACTTTTTTCTTTTTTCTCTCTCTCTTCAATTTACTATACCTGTGTATCAGTTTTTCCTTTGCAAGGTTACAGAAGTTATAATTGATATGGCAATAACCCCACAGGTAATTTTAGATATTGTTGCCACAACATAGTGAAGTTAGCTAAACTGTATTTATACCTGTTTTTCCTCAGTTTGTTATCAATACAAATAACATATCTTACAAATATTTTTTTAATTACATTTATTGGGGTGACATTAGTTAATAACACTATGTATGGAAATAGGTTTTAAGCTCTTAATTATTGAAAATTATAGATGAGATTTTTATTTTACATTTAACAAATTTGTTTCAGCATCTTCATGAAAAAGTTTTCTATGTACTTTGGAGCATTTTAGTCTCAGAGACTAATCAAAAACCAATGTTTTCATTTTATATTTTTACCTGAAAGACTACTCAAAGTATTTTTATTCCTTTTTGGGCACATTAGCACTAGAAAGATATCATTGGGCACAAGTATTATACTAATTTAAAATAATAACATAATTTTCTGACTTCAGCTCAGCTCACATCATTTATCTTAATAAGAAAAACAATATAATGTAAATGCAATCCTATAAACTTAGTGTTTAATGTAGAAATTCTTCCTTTGTGAGAATGTGAGAAAGATTACCCTTTATGCTCTTGCCCTTTTTTTTTTTTTTTAACCATCATCTTAACCACCATTTTAAAAACAGTTAGTCTTCTTCATTGTAAAATACAAACTGCCATTGCTTTCATAAAGAGATTGTTAAATAAACACTAGGCATATTTTTGCTCTTTTATTACATAGGAGTTGTCAAATTTTTTCCTTAGAGGTCCAGATAGTAAATGCTTTTTAGGCTTTGATGGCCATAGAGTCTGTCAAAACCACTCTTAATGCAAAAGCAGCCATAGGAAATACATACGTGAGTGTGACTATATTCCAGTAAAACTTTATTTATAAAAGCAGGTGGTGGCTGAATATGGCCCATGGCATCATTTTCTGATCCTACTTATATCATAAAGGTTGAATTATTTGGATATTTGTACTGCAGAATAACCTTAAAGTTAGAATTTTTGTTGTTAAGTTTTACTACTTTTCCAAATTGCTACTTTTTGTTCTTTACCAAAGATTACATTTTAAATGGAAAAGGCGGTCTAATAAATATGGGTACTTTACAAGTGAATTCTAATAAATTTCTTCTTATAATTACATCATATTCTATCATTCTCTTTTGGATTTCTACTTTGGTCCATTATTTGTGGTCAGTAAACCCAGTAAACCAAAGTATCTTCATAGAATATTCAGTAAGTGTTCATTTCAGCTTGGAGATTAAGTCTTATGTCTCTAGTTGTGGAGGCCAAAGTCTTCAAAAGGAATGCCTTAGTTGCATTATTTTAAATAGATCAAGAGATTCAGTGGCAGTAAAAATTTCATATTCTTTTTGATAACCTCAGAATCATCCTCCATTTAAAAAAGTTTAAAATCATTATCCCGACTACATCTTTGAAAACTGTTTTTGACATTTATGAGTTATTTTCATTTGCATTGTGCTCGGTCCAAGATTATTTCACTATATATGTGAAACATATAAGCAGATATCTTGAAGGAAGAAAATATTGATCTTGAAATAAATTTTGAACATTAACCTTTGCAAAACAGTATCATCACATACGTGCACAGAAAAATTAAAATCAAAAGTTTGAATAGATCATTGATTGCAAATATCCATTCTTATAACTATAAATTAGACTTAAGATTTTACAAATTTCTCTTTTCCTCGCTGTCACATCCTCTAACCATTGAAAGAAATGTAATTTTAAACCTCTTTTCTTTGTTACTCTTTATTCATGCAAAACTAAAATATTTTTTAAATAGCTTTAAAAAATATAAAAACCTCCAAAACCACTATCAAAACTCAACACAAGGTGACTGGAAGTCTATGGAATTATTTTCTCTTTTCAGCTTCCATTGTAAAAATCCCAGAATTCTGACTGGTTAGGTAAATGTGATTCATTTTTTGTTTTGTAATGCAAGTATTTTGATGGTTGGCTTCACAGCTGAGGCGAGCCACCATTTCAAACCCAATAACAGGAGACTTGGAGACGGTACATTACAGAATTAGCAAAAGGTAAGAGATGTGTATGCTGCATATTTTGATCTCTAATGAGTGTTTCATACATTCTACAGGAATTATTCATTTAAAGGAAGTAGGTCATTTTCAGTCTCCTGCTCAAGTCACCACCTGTTTATAAACGCATGGATAAACTGCTTTGTGTTTCACAGGTCTTTTCCTTTAACTAGAAGTTCTGTTTTTAATCTTTAGTTGGTCTGTTATTTTTAGGGAATTAATAGGCTTTGCATCTCTATTCAGATCAGGAATTAAATTTTCAGGAAATGGCTTGATACTTGTTTTCTTTTTCCCCTTTCTTGCCAAAGGGGTAAAAAAAAGAAAAAACAACAGCCTGGATTAATCTGGGAGGAGTCTTTGTTTATGTGGCTCTCTCACATTCATAAATGCTGCAGTAAACTCACATCATCCTTCATGGTGATTGTATTGGCATCTGTTCATACATCTTATAAAATACCATTGTCATTTTGGAGTAATCTGTATTCCTCCTGTTGGAGTTTGTATTTTAAAAAACTTGCTGACTTAAAAATTGGCAATGGAAAGAACAGAGTTATTTTTCTGATCTGTCTTCCAACTGCTATTACTTATGAATTTAGTTGCCTTGAACTATGCCAGAGAGACTTAACAATAGGTTTGTCTTGGGGAGAGTTTTAAAAAATGAATTTAAAGAGACTACTAATTATTATTTTGTCATAGTATTTAAAGAACATTAAACTTCTAGATCTGAGAAAGTTCCTGTGAAACCCAGTGCTATAAATCATTTGCATACAGATCATTTACATACAGCTTCAAATAAATTTTTTTTAAAAAAAGTGAAAGGACAATAAATCGACAACAAAAATTTGTCAACTCCTTTTCTCTTGATTTGGAAGTGGCTTTTCCAATTGCCACCTTTCTAACATTTTGCTGATTTGAAACCATTACCTACCATCCAGACCAATCTGAACCCTTCCAATCACCTGTGGCTTGGCAAAACAAAACAAAACAAAACAAACAAAAGTCCAAAATTGCCTGCTACGTGAATAAGTCCTTGTCCTTTCTCTTTTTTTGTAGCTGAGCCGAGCTACAGTACATGACCCTGAGACTGGAAAATTGACCACAGCACAGTACAGAGTATCTAAGAGGTAAGGGAGTAACGGAGAGAATTTTAGTCTTATTTGGACCATTTTCTTTATTGAGAATCATAAAACCATGATATGGTTTCTGAGACCTAGGCCTTTAAGTATAGGTGTTTGATGACAACCGTACCTGAATTTTCATGATAGACTAATAAAAAGACATGGTTATGGGACAATTTATAGAGATTTTCTAGAGTAACTTATTAAATTTCAAAATTCCTCCCTGGCCAGAGTGGCTCAGTTGGTTGGAGTGTCATCCTGTACACTGAATGGTCGAGGGTTTGATTCCCTATCAGGGCAAATACCTAGGTTGCAGTTTGATCCCCGGTCGGGGTGCATACAGGAGGCAACTGAACGATGTTTCTCTCTTACATCAATGTTTCTCTCTCTCTCTCTCAAATCAATTTTTAAAAAAATTCCTGCTGTGACTCCCCAAACCCTACCAGCTAAGTGAAGTTGTATTCTCATATTGAAGAGTTCTCTTGCCCTGGCCGGTTTGGCTCAGCAGTTAGAGTGTCGGCCCACGGACCGGAGAATCCTGGGTCAGTTCCCACTCAGGGCACATACCTTGGTTGCATTTTGTCCCCAGGGGTTGTATGGGTGGTGACCAGTCGATGTGTCTCACATCGATGTTTCATTCTCTCTCTTCCCTCCTCTCTCCTTCCTGCTCTATATGAAGATAAATGCAAAAAAATGTATATATATCCTCAGACGAGAATTTAAAAAAAAAAGTTCTCAAAGACCCTTCATAGAAGAAGGCCTAACTTGGTCTATATAGTAAAGCAGGGGTTTAAAAATCTCTGGGTCACCCAGCTGTAGGTATTAAGAAAGTAAATGTCTTCAAATATTGTATAACAAATCCTTTTCAAGTCAATTGGTTTTAAATTCTTTGACTTGAACAGCATTTAAAGAGAATCTACTTATGTCTAGAGCTCTGAAATAATTTTTAATAATGGATAACTGTGTAATTTATGTATTTAAGGTAGAAGGAGATCACAGAATAAGTTACATTATTCCAACAGAACTCCTTCTTCAGCTATTTATTTATGTAAAAAAGGTTTCTTAGCTACCATAAAAATGAAAATAGAAATGTCATTGAGCTGAATTCAGTCTCATTCAAGCAACAAGTAATATATATTTCTCTACAGATACAGCACCTAACTGACAATAACAAAATAAGCCCCATCCATCTCAATAGGAACATTTTAATATATTTTCACTTTTTATATTTGATAATGATTATTTAATTATGTTTAGATTAACTATATTACTAATAATTGTAATAAGTCATTCCAGAAAACATTTTTAATACTTAGACCTTTATGTTATTGGAAATTTATATTTTATCAATTTATATCGATATTTTTGATGTAGAGAAAAGTATTCGTATGTTTAAAAAAAGACTTTTTGACATAGAAATATATCACTCTAGGACAGGGCTCCTCAATCTCAGTACTGTTGACATTTTGGATCAGATAATTCTTTATTGTTGGGGGCTGTCCTGAGCTTTGTAGGATGTTGAACAGCATCTCTGGCCTCTACCACTCGATGCCAGGAACACCCTGCACCCCAGCTGTGACAATCAAAAATGTCTCCAGACATTGCCAAATGGCAAAATCTTCACCACCATTCCCCAGGACTTCACCTCTCCACCCCTGTTGAGAACCACTGTTCTGGGAAAAGAATGGAATGAAAATGAAAGTCCAAGGGAAAAAAAAGAATGATGTAAAACTGTTAAGTATTAAAAAATATTTTATTCATGTATTTTTTGAAGTGGATGATGGTAGGCATTAAATCATTATGGTACTTAGAGTCCACTGGATACATTAAAAAGTAATCAATTTTTAGAAATTACCACTATTTTCAGTATGACAGAAATAAATCCTTTGAAACTGTTATGTTAAAAACTTTTAGTTGTCAACTAGAATATTGTGCAAAAGAGTACATAGATTTTAAAAACTATTTTAGGAGGTACTCAAATGAAAAACATTAGAATAGTACTGCTGTAATCATAGCAGAAGTACTATGAAGGGTGGAGAGATTGTGTTAATGTGTTTCCTTGTTCTTTTTGGGCAGTGCTATATGTTCTTCGTATATTAACCTTCATCATCCCCACAAACATATTCTGGTTTCTTAACTGTCTGTCCTATACCACTACTTTCCCCTTTGCCCCAGTTAGAAAACATAATTAAATTTTCTATAATATAATTTTAATGTAGGAACACTAATAGATGGTAAGGATTTGCAGAAACTAATTTGTATTGTGCATGGCAATTAACTCTTACTTTAAGTGTAAGCTAATTTTCCATTTTATTATAGAACCTTGTTCATGTCTAAAAAATTAACCTCTTGCCCAGTTGGTGTGGCTCAGTGGGTTGAGCATCGTCCCATGGACTGAGACTCGGTCCTGGTTCGATTCCCGGTCAGAGCAGAAGATGCCCGAGTTTTGAGTTCAATCCCCAGTAGAGGGTATGTGGGAGGCAGCCGGTCGATGTTTCTCTCTCACATCGATGTTTCTATCTCTCCCTTCCTCTCTCTTTCAAAAAAAAAACCAAACAAACCAATAACAACATAGTAAAAATATGTTTAAAAAATAAAAAACCTCTTATCCATTTAAAAAAAATAACCCAGGCTATTATATATTTTATCAGAGATTACTGCATGGTTTTTAGGCATTTTTATTGTCATAAGGTTTCTAAGTATCCAAATTCTTCAGATTTGGATACTTTTAGGAAGCATATAAAACAAAATTGTGTGAACTTAGTGTTTTGGAGCTCATTTTAGGACATTTTATATATATATATAGTGGACCTTTTGAAAAAAGGACTCTTACTAACAAGTCAAAGTAAATTATTCTTGGAAAGGTGTCCTACAAATATTTGTTGTTAAGAACTAAATATTTCTAAACATTTTGAACTTAGTTTTTATAAATTTTTTCTTCATTAATTTTAAAGTGAGGGAGAGATAGAAACATTGATGAGAGAGAACATTGACTGGCCACCTCCTGCATGCCTCCCACTAGGGATTTGGCCCACAACCTGGGCATGTGCCCTGACTGGGAATCGAACCAGCAACCTCTTGGTGCATGGGTGGATGCTCCATCCTGCCACACCTGCCAGGCTGAACTTATTTTTTTAAGTATTCTAATTTTATATCCCTGAGAAGCAACTTTATTAGATCTTTTAGAAAAGCACAACCATACTTTATATTATATATAGCAGCAGGAAACATTGAGCGAGTAGCATTAGAAACATCGGAAGACTGAGTAACACCAGAATAAATTCACCCAGTCTTGGCAAAGCATATAAAGTTTGTGTGTGTTTCTGTTCAAAACAACCTAGTAAAAAAGAAATTCCATAGCACAGTGATTTTCATTTTTACTCTTGGGAAAATTGTTCAGTAACCCTTTTAAAAATAAAATATATGTTGATGCCCTGACTGGTTTGGCTCAGTGGTTAGCATGATGACCCACGGACCAATGAGTTGTGGGTTTGATTCCTGTCAAGGGCACATACCTAGGTTGCAGTTTGTCCCCGGCCCAGGTTGGGTCATGTGGGAGACAACCATTCAATGTGTCTCTCTCACATCGATGATAAATAGAAAAATATCCTCAGGTGAGGATTTAAAAAGAATGATAGTAATAAAAAATCAAAGTATGTTGAAAGAGAGTCTTAATTTTTTTTTTTCTTACTCGAGGACATTTTTTCATCCATCTTCAGATAGAATGGGAGGGAGAGGGAGGGAGAGGGAGAGCGAGGAAGAGAGAGAGAAACATCAATGTGAGAGAGACACATCGAGTGGCTGCCACCCACACGACCCCAACGGGCTGGGGACAAACTGCAACCGAGGTACGTGCCCTTAGTGGGGACCAAACCTGGGCCTCTCTGGTCCGCAGGCCGACGCTCTAACCACCGGGCAAAACTAGCCAGAGAGAGAGTCTTAATTTTTAAAGAGGAATTTACTCCATAAAATGTCCAGTACTTTTCACATTTTAACAAAGAGAAAGTTTTTACTATTTGGGGGGTTTAATAGCTATGTTGAGATATTTTGTACCCATCACTGTAAATCTGAATTTTGAAGATTCCTATAAGCTAAATAAATGTTTTATGTTTCCTTTATATAGTAAACCTCTGAAAAAGGCATCTAAATGCAAAATAGAAGAAAGAATTTGTGTGTATTGATGTTAATTAATGTAATCTCTCTTACACTGGGAATATCTGTGTTTTTGAAAGGGTCGGAAGGGAATTTCAAATATCCGTATTTTGAGACATTTTTAAGTGATTGTGTCGTCTTCTCTGGAAGTAAAAATGTTTTCCAGTGTTGTAGCAAATAGCATTTTCTTTGGACAAAAGTATGTGTGGAAATTTATTACTGTTTAAAAAACAGTTTTTATTTACTTTATTGACTGACTGACTGTGAACTTTTGGCAAGTTATCTCTGTCTTTGCCAACAATTAAAAAACACACACAAAACCTAAAAATTTACTACAGCTAGTTAGTGGAGGAGCTAATAAATTTTGACTAAATCACAGGAATGGAATTTTAGCTTTTTGAAAGGTAAGCATTCAGTTATGTGCACTGAAAAAATAGTTATGTAAGTCCATGAAGTCTAGTTAAAGTAATATAAATGTGATATGCAAATAGATAATCTATTTAGTGTGGTAGAAAAAGCTTTTTTGTTTCTGGAGGGTTAATCTTGGAAATGGTTTCTTTTTTTACACTATAATTTAGATTTTCTACAATAAGATATTTTATTGTGCTTAAGATTTAATTTACCATTGTTAATAAGGAACAAATACAGTATAAAAATGTATTAATATTTTTACAATATGGAGACAAATACAGTAGCTTTGAATGATTTCATTTTTTTTTTTAATTGCAATAACTTTTTTTTTTATCCTCACTCGAGGACATTTTTCCATTTTTTGTTCAGGTAGAGTAGGAGGGAGAGAGAGAGAGAGAGAGAAACATCAACGTGAAAAGGACACATTGAGTGGCTGCCACCCG